AAAAAAGAAGGAGGAGATAAAGAAGAGGGGAGACAGAGAGAGAGAGAGAGAGAGAGGGAGAGAGAGAGGTTGATGAAAAATTGCTTTAAGAAAAGATTCTGGTTGAAAGAACAAAGAGATTAGTCGACAACAGTATGCAGCTGGGAGGGTAACTGGAGATATTAGTCGCTGTGTGTGTGTGTGTGTTTGATTTCACGATGCTGTTCTGTAAATGATTAACTCATTTGAGAGAGTTTATGGAGAACTGATTTTTCTGTCTACTTCCTGTATGATGCAACAATGAGATAGCAAATGAGGTCACAGAAAACAGTCAGGGTAAAGGTCAGAGATGACCCTTGACCTTTGTCAACACAGGTCCATCGGTTATTGTATTCATATAAGTGTTGAAGCAATATATTGACAAAATGTGCAGATTGATTTTCCAGGACATTCTCCATTTATTAATGCATCTAACAGAGAAGGCCACAAGTCCCTTTAAGCAAGTCCAAGTCTCTTGTGGTTTTGATGAATAATTAAATATAATTTACGGAGACAATAAGAGGGCTCCGATGTAGCTGTACAACACTGTCATGGAAACATGCAACATGGAAAGTGGACTAGTCTGCTCAGAGATCTGAGATCTGGATGACTGAGCTCACATCGACCCATCCAGGAGCGTTTTCAGATGCCTGTTAAAGTTTGATGTGTTCAATCCAACGTCCTGTATTTCAGTTTTTTTCAGTGATTCTTATTTTTTTGGCATTGTGTGAAGTTATTAAATCCTAAAAAATGACAAAAGGCAACGGCACTGTAGCAGCTGCAGGTGAAGTGCTCACTATGTTGGATGACCGTGCACCAGAAGCATGCAGGGTTATGTCTGATTGGAAGAAGTGACATTCAGCTCTGAACATTCAAGCTTTACAATTAAAAAGATTGTGAATAAGTCTCATAATGAGAGTCCAAGGTGATACTCCTTTGTATTCCTCATGTTCCTGTTGTCCACACTTCCTTGTTGTTGAGGTGGAGGTCGGAGCAGGCCGTGCATGAATGAGGACGACGGTGGTTGAGGGACGACACAGGAGGCAAGTCTACAGCAACATGCATGTGCAGCTGAAGTCCAACTCCAGTTCAAGTCTGAAACTCGAGTCCCAAACTCTAGCATCAAACCATGTTCATTAAATTTGACATGAATCCTCAAATGTTTATTTAGTCTGGGTAAAAAAAACAGAAATGTCCTCTGGGATAAAGAACGTTCTGAATCTGAAACGAGAAACATTTGGCTCCATTTTAACTCATTTGTAGAATCCACCTAAAAAGCTGCCTTGACCCCCTGGTGCCTGGTAATCTGCACCTCACATCCATTAAAATGTGAGAAGATGATGATGATGATGATGATGATGCAGCAGAGTAATGCACCATTGGAGAATTTGCATTTTAGGAGATTCATCTATCAAAGTGAGAAAACATTAGAAATGTGTTGTTATGAATAGCATGATAAAGAGAGTGCAGAAGAGGAAGCTCAGATGTACCCGCCCCTCAGGCGTTTAGGACAGAAGGAGCATTCACTTCTCTGATTGCATGGATCCGTTGACTTAGCACTCAGATTTATTGTGTTCCTAGATGTGTGCAGTCATTTCACTTTAGCCAGGAGCTAAGAAACATCATTCAAATAGAAAATCTGCCTTGTGGCCTGTGCCATGGGACTGATAAACTCTTTATAAATGACTAAAAATAAATTCTTAGGGCGCGGTCACACTGGCCATCTGTACTGTGCCGTACTCAAGCACGATTGGCCCCCCGCTGTGCCATTCCCACACTGGCCGGCACGGCCCGCGGTCATACTTCACAGGACTATCCGTGCTTAAGCACGATTACCTCTTGTACATAACATCTTAATACAACGTATTGTTGTCTGTTGACAAACAGGCGGACGAGAGAGAGAGAGAGAGAGAGAGAAAAGGGATGCGCAGTCGAGTCCGCGTCTGCACATCGGAGAACAACACAGAGAGCATGACAGCTACTTTACTGACTTTGCGGCTTATTTTAAGCCATTTTTATCAGATACAGCTATAAATAAATTGAAAAATAAAATAAACACAGAGAACATGACGGCTACTTTGTGGCTTATATTGAGTCATGTTAGTCAGATACAGCCATGAAACTCTGGATTTCTCCATAATGAAGGCTGTCAGCGTTGTGTTGTGCTTGTGAACGTGCATGAAGTGTGCCAAAGCTAAGGAAGTGTTCCATGCCTGAGCACGGCACGGGACGGAGCAAACGAACTGGACTTTAGGGTTGAAGCGCGCTTGGGCACGGTACAGATGGCCAGTGTGACCGTGCCCAAAGAGAGGTGGTTTAAACAAAAATACTGTGTGAGGATATGAGGTTTCTTGTTGTCAGTGGAAGTAAATAAAAACTCAACAGGCCAGAGATCTATCAGGTGGGTTTCCCCCCTTTTACACAGAGCATATGAGTATATAAGTTTGAAAGAAGAAACATATATTTGCACTTTCATGTCTAAAGATGGACGTTCCTGACATTTCTTTAAAGACCTGGCCGTGTTTGGACTTAAAAGCAGGGTTGGTAACATTTTAAAACTAGCATGATTTTGAAAGTAGCATTCCCTCAGTGCACTGTCTGCACCCACCCCCTCCCCTCAGCTAATCTAAGTGGACCTCAGCTCATCTCTTGCATTGTGTAGAAACTACGTCGTCTCATGTCTCATTCAGCGGTAAGTAAACTCACCACTCATCATTTCATTCTGTCCTGCACCATTTCTTTAATCATAACTTCATTTACATAAATGCACAGTCACCTTCAGGGAAATGTTGACCTCGACTTTCATGGGATGTGACAAGTTCCTGCAACCCGCAGTCTTCAATTGAAACTTTCCCAGTCTACTCAGCATCTCCTCAGATTTCCCCTTTTACATTATGCATTCAGTCCAGCAGATATGGTTTGAGGTGACAATTAAAACTGGCAGACTACTGCGAGGTAAGTTTATTTATTTCTGATGCATTTTTATGCCGCAAGACAAGAATGACTGACAGTGGAGACGCTCTGTCTCCTGGTTCAGTTGAGTTAACTCAAATAATGAAGCAGAAATAGAAACTTAAATCTGTAGTTATAAAAGTCAAATTCTAGTTTCTGTCTTTTTATTTCATTTACATTTTTATACAAACACAATAAACTTGTGTCCTAATGAAAGGATAAGCGCTCAGTGAAGACAGCCCTCATCTCAATCACGCCCGATGCCCTGATAAGTTACACAACCTGGCCCTTAGTTGCCACCACAACCAAAACAGCATTATCACCTTCAACAGACCCAGGCTCTGTTTATGCGAGCCAGCCTTCACCGGTGTTTTGCCCAATTAGTCCCCCGACTGCTCAGAGAGGCTGGACAGTGAGCTCTGGTGTGTCTTACCTTCCCTATACCACATGGCCATCACAGCCCATTCTGCACTGATACCTTCAACAGACCCAGGCTCCATAGAAACAAGCTGTGGGTTCAAACATTGGTACACCTTTATTTATGGTCTCTTTTCTTGGTCTGTGTTTTTAAATGTTTTAAAAGCTAAAATGAAAGACCTGAAATTCAGACTCTGTCTGTAACTTTTTGTTTTTGATGCTGCCTGTCTTGGCCAGGTCTGGTGGAAAAGAGGTTCTTAATCTCAAAAGGACCAACCTGATTAAATAAAGGAAAAATCCCTGAAAAAAACATATTAGGATAGCTTACAAAATTTTGTGACACATTTGTCCAGTTAGCAATGTAACTAAAATGTACAATAAATGTATATTGTTTTTATCCATAGAAACAACATGAATTCTTCAAAAAAAAAAAAAAGGCCTACTATGTCATTCAATGTTATTCTGAGGCCCTTTGTGCTATGACCATATTTGTTTTGTAGTTTTTGTGGGTAATTAACTTATGAACGACTTATTTGATGGGTTAAAATGTGCTTTTAGGAGGAGCCGAAGTGGAAATTTTTAACAGCAATTATTTCCCCCTCATTGATAAGTTGTTGCCTTACTGATGATCAATTTAAATAGGCCCATAGTTTTACCTTTTAACTGCAGGTGGAATCTAGCTAATCGGCTAAATCTGGTGCAATGCATCATCACTAACTGAGATTAATGTATTTTTTTACATACAAACTAAACGATAATTAAAACTAAACTAAACTAAACTGTTGTATTCATTTATTTAACCTTAATTCACATTGTAGGTCCCTTTGGATTTAAACACTTTTTGAAATGAGACCTTGCCAAAACAGCACACTATTAAAAAGTTAATAACAGACAAATGTCTGTCTTGGACTGTCCTCTGGACTCTGTAGAGGAGGTGGGTGAGAGGAGGATGTTAGTGAAGCTGACATCCATCATGGACAACCCCTCTCGCCCCCTGCATGACACTGTGGGGGCCCTGTGGGGGCCCTGAGCAGCTCCTTCAGCAGCAGACTGAGACACCCACCCTGCAAGACAGAGCGTTTCCGCAGGTCGTTCATCCCATCTGCAGTCAGACTGTTTAATCAGACTGTTTAACAACATCACCACTCATATCAATAATGCTACACACTGTGTGCGTTTTTAATAATAACTATTTCCACAAGTGGAAGTGTACATACCTGGTATTATTCTATTATTGTATTTTTTTCTGCCTTTATTTAACTGATGTAAATATGTTTGATTTTTTAACTTGTTATTTTTAATAATTATATTCCTGTTTCCTGTTTTTCTTGAGCTGTTGTAATGAACAAATGTCCCCCATGGGGGATCAATAAAGTTTATCTTTATCTTTAAATAAAGTTAGAAATACAATATCGACCACGGTGACAATACAGACAGACAAGGATGAGAAGCAAGCTTTTCAGATGACAAAAAAGAAGGGCTTGGACATAACTATAAACTGTAAATATAAACAGGACTTTACATTTTGTGCTACTTACTTACACGGTACCTGCACACCGGGCTGTGTAGGACCGGGCGCCCGTCTGAGCTGCACGGGTTGCCCCACCCCGCCCCGCAGGTTGTTGGTGAACACGGAACTACAGTTTCTGCTGCGCTGCTCCATCTCTGCAGACAGGAGAGAGAAACAGACTCGAAACACCGAGGAACACATCGACATTTCTGACTGAGAGGTGTCCTGTGTCGACATTAATGTGAGTACAGCACATTTTAATTACTAAAACAGCTCTTTAACGAAGCAGTGTGTGACGTCAGCGGCTGAAATAACCGCTTTATCCTGACGTTCACTGATAGCATGCTAACTAGCTAGCCTAGGCTGTCCTACGACACAAGTATCTGACAGCTGGATATGATGAAAGAATGTCTCCTTTACTGTTAAAATGTACATTCATGTAAAGACTGTCATATAATATACATAGAGACATATATTACTCTACATCTATCGGTTTAAATGAGTGTATGATTCTGTCATTGAGGTTAACTTAGGGCTAAAAACAAAACATTAGGAACAACTTTGAGACATGTCAAACATAACACTCGTGTTTACTTAAATATTGTGGTATTATTTAATCATGTTTGAAACAAATAACCTTTAATAAGTTTTAGCAATGGTGTGCCTTGTTGAATAATGACTCTGACTCACTACAGACACATGAGTGAAATACTCTTCTGTCTGTTTCTGCAGCTGCATGCTCATGTGAAGGTTTCTGTTATTGTTAGATTGCTTTAAATAAAGCTAATGATCAGGAAGACTTTTCATGTGTAATGTCTGCAGAAGGTAACAATTTCCCCATTTCACTCCTGTTAATTATGAGTCTTTAATTGCACCCAAGTTTCTTCTCTTCTTGCAAATGCAAAATAATCATGTGTTTTATCACCTTTGTTGAAGTTTAATATCTGTTTCTAGGAGGGCTGGGCGATATGGACCAAAACTCGTCTCTTGATATTGTTTAGCTGAATGGCGATACTCGATATATATCGATATGTATTTTATTAACAGTGAAAACACATGGAAAAATAAACTACCTGTTTGTGAATTTAAAAAGTAATATTATAAAATAAAAATGTTCCTTAAATACAATAAACGAAAGAGAGGAGGAGCAGGGTGAAGAGGGACAGACAGTCAGTCATCATCAGTGAGATGAGAAAAAGGTGACCTGACACCTCTGTAATGTTATTTTAATGCAACATAAACTATATCCATATTAATGATATTGTCTTACTCTATATCTTGTTTGAAAATATATCGATATATCTTAAAAACTCGATATATTGCCCGCCCTAGTTTCTAGGCCTGTTTGTCCACCTGTATCAATCAGTTAGGGCTGGGCGGTATGACCTCAAATCACTGGTCACTGACGACGTCTCTACTGTAAATGTGCTCAACTATTAAATCTGGGATATGTTTTCTAATGAAAGAGTGTCATAACTGATTAACTATTTTGTGATTATTTATTGAATATTTCAAACTGAAATCAAAGCATCGCTTGAAATGAAAACGACACATTTTAGTTTTAAAGGAGAAATTAACTTCTCTGAAACAGTAGAAAATAAATAACTTGCATTTCTTGCAAAAACAGTTTTTCCGCAGTGTTTAAATTGGACTTGTTTTTGTTCGGTGTCGTCTTCCCTAAAGACAAAATGTGTCCAAACAAACGACGGACAATGCTTCCATGTTGTGGACTGGACATGTCGTCATGTGACTCGACCCTGAAAATAATCAACATTTTCAACATGGGCAAGATTACATTGGTTAGAGGTTCTGAATTTCGGTTTCAATAAATTTTAGATTAATTGCCTTAATTTCTTGGTTTAATTCTGATAAACATGCAAGTAAAAATCCTTCTGTCAACCCTAATGTAGCACCGACAACTCGGGCCCCATCTACAGAGGCTATGGTCCTCCAAGTGGGCAGCCCAGGTTCGAATTCCCCTCTCCCTGATTTCTGACTCTATCCCCTGTCCTGTCCTGTAAAGATCTAAACTCTGCATGCAAACTTTTCTCATCTGTGCTGCAAGTGCTCCAAACAGTAATCTCTTCCCACTGTCATATTTACTGCTCAGATTCTTAAAAGCATCCCTGAGCAACAGAGAAACGCCAGTTTAGTGCCTTAAAAGTGACAAGTTTACAATTGTTTTAGAGGAAAGCTTTAGTAGTTTTAAGTGGAGCCATAAAACATGACTTCTAGGGCCCCAGGTTGTTGAGGTGACACTGCCAGCTCCTTTCCTGTCCATTTTATTTTAGAAAAAATACATGAACCAAGTACCCATGATGTTAATTCTTTTTTGGGCGAATCAGTTGGCAGGTTGGGGTTTTTAGGAGTGATTTTTAGGCTATTTTTGCCTTAATGGGATAAGACAGACCAATTAAAAGCGACAAGAGTTGGGAGGAAAGAGTGGGGGATGACATGCTGCAAAAGGTCGAGGTTGAATTTAAAACCCAAGGTCGCTGCAATGAGGGCCCGCTACATAACCACCAAGCCATACGATTTCCGGGAAGATTAGGGGTTTTGATTCCCAGCTCGTGCAGCCACATGTCGACGTTTCCAAACCCCAAGCTGCTACCCCAGCGTGAATGTGTGTGTAAATGTAATAGTACTGAAGGGCAGTTGTGCACTTAATGCAGCAACCTCTGCCATCAGTGCATAACAGTTAAAAGCACTCTGAGTGGTCAGAAGACGAGAATGCATTGCACAAGTCCAAGTCCTTTTACCTTTTATTGTATTGTATTGTGGCCGGCTGATCATAGCTGTCAGATTGCGAGGAATGATATTGATTTGGCAGGTCCCAGGAGAGGTCATGTCCCACTCCCCATTGCATGTTGTCACTTATCTGAAAGGGTTAAATGTGATTCTGGTTTGAGCTTTGGGACCGGCTGCTCTTAAAATAAAGCAAAAATCATTTTCTTTAAATACTCGACTCGTTTTCAGAGGATACAAGCTGGGAGACATCTATATGCTAATCAAGACTGCATGCTGTTTTTGTTTAGGTATTCTTCTAGTTGGTTTTTAGATGCAGAAGAAATACTCAAAGTGATGTATCCATGAGAAATACATAAGTGACCCTTAAAATAAATATTTTTCTGTTTATACTCCAGCTGTTAAACAGGGCAATATATCGTGTGTGTGTACTGATCCTGTTGCTAACATCTCATGTGGCTCTGATAAGAACTCAAAACCACTTACTGACTTTTGTTCTTGCTATAAACTTGCATTATTTAATCCTTGATGATCTCCCTGATCTGTTGTCCCTTACAGGCACCCTACAATGTGTGTTTTGAAAAACTGTGTCTCAATCAAAGCTAGGGTTGTCAGGATACCAGATTTTTTAAAGTTAGGTATGATGCTAGTAAAAATCAAATGATATCGACGAAGACCAGGAGCTCTTTCATGAACAACTACGCACTTACTGATATTGATGATGACAATGATGAAGGTTTTGTTTGATAATAATGACAATATTTAGGATGTATTTGATGCTGATTAGAGCTCTCAAGAACAGCTGTCGATGTAGTGCCTTACCTCTGGTCACTTCCTGTCAGCTCCTGTGTGTCCAGTCAGACTTAAAGCTGATTGTTTGCACTTCCTGACGTTGTCCCCTCCTCCAGGTCCTTGCTTGTGTTGTTCTTACTCTCTGATGTTCGTCGCTTTGGATAGAAACTGCCGCTAAGTGAATTGTAGAAGGAAAAATTGCTAGCAACCTCCTGCACACTTAGCAACGTCTACCAAACTGTCCTCAGCGTTCGTGTGCGATATAGACGATGTTCTCTCTTTTTAAGGCAGCTTTAGCTTAAAAATATGACTGAAGAAGTCTCAGTGCTTTTCGATTTAACAACCTTGTTTTCCTGCAGTGTGTCTCACTGCTTTTCCTTCAAAAATAGCTCCTACATCCCCTGTACAGTCTTTCTGACTAAAATGTTCTGTCAGTGTGATGGGAACAAAGTGAGCTTCGGTGTGTCTCAGCTGTAAAAATCTATTTTCTCTTCAAGCTCCCAAGCCTGCCAACTGGGGATTGAACAGACCATGGGTTACTCTCACTTTGAAAATGATTAATTTCAACCCAGTTGACAAATTTCAAAGGTTCAGGACGACATCCATTAAATTAGCTTAAGTGGGCGTTGCTCAGCTGGCAGCTCAGGGTCAATGAGATCAGGACAAATCAGCCCTGTGTTTTGTCCCTCTGCCTCCTGACTGTTTCTGTTTCAGGTGGTCGTCGGGCATTAGCTGTGTTTATTTCAAAACAGAGATGGAAAAAAATATAAAATGATCAACCAGATATCAGCAACATAACTGCCCGCGTCACCATTTGACAGCAAGCAGTGGTTAATTGTTACCATTGCTATGGCTAATTGTTATCAAATTTTTCCAGCTTCAGTCTTTTAGCATCTGCAGAAATATAATGCATATCAGCTCGGTTGTAATGGAGCCAAATGGACAAAGGGCACGTCTCCTTTTTGTCTTTCTTTGAATCCGTTGGACAATCTGTGCCTGAATAGTTAATGAGATATTGACAGGTGGAAGCTTCAGGCCTCAGTGGGATGAACTCCTCCGTCCCATCCTTTAAAACACAAGTGGGAGCTGCAGATTCACACCAGTGGCCCCACTGGCTTAATTGTTAATCATCTTTGCGTGACACTAGTGAATTAAGCAACACCCCGTTCTGAAATGAAGTTCTTAAGCTTAGCTGCAGAGGCTGCAATTAGTTTTATCATCGCTTTCTGTTGTTTAATAATTTAGGTGTGTGAGAAGTCCGGGACATTAATGCACGGATTGTGAGAGTACAGTTTGCCCGCAGTGCAGTATGACGATCCCACGAGTGCATCGCTTTTGTTCTTAGCTTCGCCTCTTGAGATGGTTGTTAATTAGTTTGAGGTAAATTTTCCAAATCCTTACTTTCGACTTCAACGGCTTATGAATAGAGAAGACAGCAAAGTGTTCCCACTTCTTAAAGACCCTCAAATAATGTGTAAATAACACAAACAAACTTTTCTCAGTTTTTAGAAATGATCTTCTAGTTGTTGTTTATCACCGTACAGGCTTTGCTAAAAGAGCACGCTTTTCTTCTTTTCTTTCTGCAGGATGTTCCGCTTGCGGGCGTTGTCCGCAGTTTCGGTGGGGCTTGTGCAGCTGTCTCGGCGCTACCACAGTGGTGCAGTGCGAGGGACTGGCCGCAGGAGGCTGATGCTCGCAGCCCTTGCTGGGGTCACTGGTGTGTCTGCCAGCGCTGGGCTGCTCTGGAAAAGGTAGGACTGGACGGGGCACAGTAACACACCTGTGTGTCTCTTTAAACCACTGAGAATCAAGAATGACCTCATAATTAGTACTTTTTTTGTTCTTTAGACATCGGGAAAACCAAAGGAATTGATTCACAACTTTATAATTGAAACATAATTACAAATTAAGTAGTCCCATTACTGGGTCTTTAAAGCGTATTTTCCGGTTTTCCCACTGCTTCAGAGATAATTCCATGTAACAACACAGGTTTCTCTTGAGTGTTTTTCTTCAGTCTTTCTCTAGATAATTGTTTCTTGAAGCTCCTCTGTGCATCCTTGTTTCTTACATTAAACAGATTATGATCTACCCTCCATAAACCAGAGCCTTCCTCACACATGCACTTGTAAAAAAAAAACTCAAAATAATTTAGGGCAGGCTGCCCTGAATATCTCTCTGAGTTGTCTGATCACAGATGCACCTCACAGCGGGAGACCTGTACACTTTCCATGTCGGACAGGAGGAGGGAAGGGCGGGGGGAGGTCTCAGGAGACAGGACATGACATAAAAGAGAGCAATAGAGTCTGACACTTTGAGGGCAGTTTTTGCCTTTATGTCAATGCTCCCTGTTATTGAAATCGACGAATGAGTGGTAAAGAAAATACTACTACAAGCAGGGAAGAGTATGTAGCAGCTTCACTTGATTCTCAACAGTCACTCATTGGTCGATGGTCACTGCCTTATCACTTCCTGAATATAACCTGCTGCGCTCACACATCGGCTGAAAAATTCAGCCATTTGCAGTCACACATGCAGCTCATCCCCCGCCCCCAGAAATGTTCAGGAGTGTGTGTGTTAAAAACCACAAGATTGGCTTGCAATGCAGTATTAAAATTTTTTTGAAATTTGAATTTTAAGTTCAAGCAAAATTCAATTTTCCAATACGCACATCTGATGTAACCACTTACCTGCATTGCATTTTTCTTGACATTCCAATCCACCACCCCAAGGGTGTCACAATGTTTTTATGGCTATCCATTACTAAGCAGCCTTGTGTTTAGTTAAGGCGAAGCTGTGGAGAGGGTGTTGACGTGAGAGCTCTATGGGGACAGACTCTGCTGCAGGAGGCAAGAGTGATGGATGGTGCCTCGGGGCATTTGAGACTGATGGGACGAGACTGTTCCAGGCCCTCACCCCCCGGTCTTCATTCCCCCTGTATCTCATTAAACTGAATTATTCAGCCTGTCCCACACCGACTCAGCTATTTATTATTATTATTCCAATTTTCAATTTAGTCAGAAAAAATGGTCAAGTGGGAGTTTACCCTAGTAAACCTCCCTGCACTGCACAGACAAGCAAAAACAAGTGCAGCACATAATCCCTCTCTGTATTACATTATGGCTACAGTACATTCATCCCAGATTCTTCTTCTGCCTCGGCACCGCACAGAAAAGATATTACAATACTTAACCTTCTAGATAGATGACTTAGAAATGCCCCTCAGGTGGTAATCTGTTTCTAATTTTTCTGCTGAAATCCAGAGCCCACACGGAGGCAGGGCCATCCGTCATCCATCACTGCGAGGTACCAGAAGCAGAAGCGGACAGTTTTGTGAAGGAAACGGATCCCAAGACGGAGTCTGAGAGGTCAGTCGAGGCCAGCAGCGGAGACGAGGAATCGGCGGATGATGGAGGCGAGGGGAAAAAGAAGAAGCCGCGCTCTGGATTTCGTGACCGCAAGGTAATCAATAAACCATAAACAATCGGCCGCGCAGGCAGCAGTGTGGTTTTTAATCCTCTTTGGGAAAGGTGTTTTGAAAAGGCTTCCCGATCGATGTCCAATATGCAAACGGCGGTGTTTTCTGACAGAATATTTTACAGAGAGGCCGAAAGGTAATCAGCAGACATTGCTGCTGTCATAAATAAACAGAAATGTGCCACCCTTTATATTGTATTGTTAATTTAGGCAGAAGATGACCAAGCAATGCCGAATACACACTCTAGCAGCTGGGTGTGATGTCTTTGGAGTGACCGGCGATAAAGGAAAAGAGGAAGAGCTGAGAAAACAATAGATGCAATCTCTCCGACTTATGGGTGTTGATGTAAAAAATTGGGAGATTACTCTCGCCTCTGCAGCAGCCACCAAAAGTCTGCTGAAAGCTTATAGATGTCGAGGGAGCAAAACTGTGAATCATAGCACCGCAGGATTCACTAGTTTGTCGGTAAAAATAGGGTTGTTTGTGCCAACACACTCACGCTGTCAAACTAAAAAGTTTGGGTTTGAGAAAGTGTTTTGGTCTGAAGGGAATTCTGTGTGTTTGTGTGCAGATCTCCTGCATGTCCACCCAAGTCCTTGAGATGGTTGAGTGATCTATCGTATGTGACCTGTCTGTAGTAGTGATGGCCATTTTCAGCCATTTTAACATCTCATTACCTTTTATTAACGAGTAATTGATTAGTTGCTTATGCTCGTCAGACACGGACCTCCTGGTGGTCCGCTCTGCTTTCTGCTGTGTATCACTGCCGTGGTATTCAAATCCCACTTCTGAATGAAATTACAAGTGATAGTTTCAAACAACACCGTGGTGAGAGCTGTCAACGCGTCTAGTAACAGCCACATTGTCGACATGTTGCAAATCCGCCCTCATTTCTGCTGCCTTCACTCAGACATCCTCTCCACTCCTGTAGCTGATGTTTGCGGTGATCTTGGCTGATTCTCCAGCTCAACAAATCAGCATCAGTTTTCCATTTGCATTCCCCTTTCAGATAACTGAATGGGAGCACATCACCGTTCAAAAGCGTACAGGTGAACTCCTGCACACTGTCCGACTTGCAAACATTCATTTATTCATTTTCATCGGGCAAAGAGTCTGTTTGACGGTCTAGTACCTGAACGTTTCTGATGGAACCTTTACTCTCCCATGCACACGTCTTATGGAATAGATGTGCAAAAGATTTTTCTAGTTAGCATATTTCCAGGCACTGTTTTTAATAGCATGCTAATCTTCTGCGCTCTGGTATCATCATAACGAGGTATGCTACCAGGTTTAGCAAATCATGTAAGTGAGACTTCCTGTTGTCTGTTTCCGCTGGTTTCTCTTTGTGCTCCAAGCATGGAACTAGTATTTCTATGATAAGATTCTCTTACACTGCTCATTTTCCTCGTCTTCCAGACATCTCTGTTCCTGGTCATGGCTGACACGGTGTATGAACAGTGAAGGAGTAATTCTCCAGTACTCGAGTAATCGTACTCATCCAGAGTCTAAAGAAGATTTATTTTGAGATTTTGGACTCCCTATATATTTCTTCTTTACTTTCTTTAAGGTGAAAAGCATTTTCTTAACAGGATGATCTCAGGTGTAAAGTTATTCAGCAGGAGGAAATCTTCCTTTTAATGCATGTTTAAAATTCACTTCTTTTACTTCCTCGCTTTTAAACACATTCACCGCTCTGGCTTCAGGTATGAAAAACAATCTTTGAAAATCTGAGGGAAATAAAACAATAGATAAGAGGTGTGACTTGAATTTCATCGCCTCTCGGTTGTGAACTTGCTATTATTTTTATTTTTTTTGCAATAGAAAGCAAGAGCATAAATGGCTGAAAGCTCAAAAGAGCAGGAATGACTCAGCCTGTGTGATGCTGAGATCAGTAGGCTGTAAATCTGAGGAGATGAAAGCCAGAAGAGGGATGACAGCATATGCCAAGCTTTCCCTCAGTCAGGCTCTGGGACATTTCCACACGACTGTCCTATAACCTGTCATCCGTACTCTGATGGCTGCCTCTTCTGGGGGACATGCTCCCGGTGATTTCCCCGCAGACCAATAATGTGTGCTAAAGAGGGGAAGCTACACAGGAGCACGTTTTTCATGACTGCGGTCTCAAGAGGGGGAGTCTTAGTTTGTCTGTGAATCGCTCTCACTTTTTCTGTCATCAAACTGGAGTGGATAACAGCCTCAGAAAAAGTTGAAGCTGCAAACCGGATTTCCGCTCTGTCCACAGGGAGTTTGTGCGGTGTACACAATCATTCAGCGTCACATAAAATAACCGCCTGTGTGGAATAAGACTCCCAAACAGACACCGCTCTGTCAATTTCTGTTTGAACTAACGGCTAAAAAGCAGATGGCAATGTCAAGGCAAACGCTGCCGAGGCTAATGTGTGCATCAGAGCTGAATAAACAAGTGTTTTTAAAAACCGTTGGACTTTGGTATGACATGCTGTAAGCTTCATGTCTCGCTGTCATCGCTTTGTGCGGCTTTGATTGCTCTACAGTCTCGCTTTGTGCCAACCTGTCAGTCAGACAGATGCTAAAAACACTATTTACTGTTTTCATTATGTGGTAGTGAAGATTAGGGCCAGATTTTTGCAGCCGATATTGAGTTGGAAAAAAATCTGATATCGTTCTTAGATCTTTGTTCAATTTGTATAGTTACAAATTTGCACATTCATTATGTTGATTCCTTTAAATGCAATTATCAAACACTTGTGGAAAATATATATAATGAAGGCAAGATGGCCACTCAACTGGAAAATAACAATGCATGTATGTGCGTCACCGCTAATCCATATAGCGCCCTCTGCTGGGGAAAGAGAATTGCAAGTGTCATTCAATGAATCTCAGATTAAATGTTTTTTGACTGGTGAGTAAACTGCGACATCTGCTATAAAGTTAGCTGATACCGATAGTCACTGGATATGATAATATCCGGCTGGCTGATTAATCGGTCAGGCTATAGTTAAGATGTGGTAGTTAAATCAGGATCGTACAAGTATTCCTCAAGTCTGAAAACAATGGGGAAGTGTAAAATGGAAGATAAAAATTGTATGCATCATCTTGTTGCATGTGTGTCATTATGTTGATGTTGCTGTATACAAAGAGCAAACCAAATGAGTTCTGAGCTTTGCAACACTTTATATCATCAAATATTTTGAAACATGGGAACTAAGGAGTGTGTGTAACTGCAGGGTTAATAAATCTCCTGATCAGGATCTGTGGCTTGTTTTCCTGAAGCCACCTTCTGCTTCTGTCATCCAGGCACTCCTTCAGCCTCTCGTAAATCTCCCTCAGATTAATTAGATTGTTGAAGTAGGATTATAACATTTGTGTCTTTAATAAGGTTGTTAAATTACTAGAAAGATAAAATGACAGTGACACCTGTTTTGATACAACAGCAACAAAAACAGAAGTCTTAGACACCTAGTATTGGGTAATTAGTTTAAAAAAAAAAAGTTTTATTTAGGAAAAGCATTCTTCGCACATTAGTAATTACACATAATAGCAGAATAATTGCAAGACTCCTCCCTCAAACTTTTAAACATTGGCGCACTTTCTTTGCAGAAAGAGGGGGGGTACGATGCTCACAGTATATTTAACAATTTAGCTCTTCCAAAGATTTTTTTCATATTCAAGTAACATGACATTAATTAAATTGAAATTATTTACAAAAGAACACAGGAAGCTTTCACCTTGGAGGGGTAGAGAAAGAAAATAATACAATAAAATACAGAGCAGGTTAACGGACTCCAATAAGTCAAATTAAATCAGGTCTTATAGGTTTGACATAGTCAGTCCATTTGGTCCATATCCTGTAGAATCTATCCTTCTAGACTTTGAGGGAAAATGACAGCCTTTCCATAAAATATATTTCATGTATTATGTCTATCCACTCATCAATAGTTGGTGGGTTAGGTTAGTTGTTTTTCAATTACCAGAAACTGCAAGCAAACTCCAGCACACTAAAAGTCTAAATTGCATGGCCAAATTTGGGTATCAAAATTTTGCCCTGTACCACTTCAAACAGCATCCCCTCCTCTGCTCTTTGTCTTTTCTGTAGAGGCATGAATGTTACTTTTGTAACATTCGGTCTTTTGTCGGTCTCTGAAAGTCAGTATTTATCGACCTGATTTGAACACCACTGCTTACTCTCTTGCTCACAGGAACTTAAAGTATGACTGAAGATTTGTAGTTTATTTAATACTTAGTTCTTTTCAAAACTGTCGATCATTAAAACACACCTGAGATTGTATCGTTAAGAAACATGAGTCTTCAATTTGTTTGATGTTTAAATATCTTGTGTCCTTATTTGGTGCTTCCTGTCTGCTTCCTTTCAGGTGATGGAATATGAGAACAGGATTAGAGCCTATTCAACCCCAGACAAGATTTTCCGCTACTTTGCCACGCTGAAGGTCATCGGTGAGAATGGCGACGCTGAAGTTTACATGACGCCCCAAGACTTCATACGCTCCATCACGCCCAACGAGAAGCAGCCTGAGAGTGAGTCTCCTGCACCCTCCTTTCCTTTACACCCACCGTCACATTATGTGAAGAATACCCTACCTGAGAGGGGCGGATGAATCTACCTGGAGAGTTTTTAAATGGCTTCAACTCGATGACCAAATGAGAAACTTCACAGACATGTTCCTGTTGAAAATGAGTATGATATGGGACTTAAAGTTTGAAAGGTTCAGAAGCTTAGTTTCAAAGATCGTCATAAGAATATATGTTGTTTTTTTTCATTTGTTAACCCCACAAGGGGAAATTATTTTTACACTCTAATATTGAGTCATGCACCAACAGCACCCTATGAAAATGCACCGACATCAGAGTGAGGGGGCTGCACATAAAAGAGCCTTGCTCAAGATCACCAGAACACATCGGCAGTGCTAAGTGAACTGGAACCTCTTCAGCTACCAGTCCAATTTCCAGACTTGGTCCCCATCGACAGTCCCCGCAAGTTAAGAAATAGTTATCAAATGTTGAAACCAGCAGGATAAAAGTTTGTTAGCTAATAAAAAAAGAACAAGGTGACAAACATTTTCAAAATATATTCTTGTCTTATCTTTAAAAAACAAATAATAGAAAAGTTTTGATAGTGGTATCAATAAAGACTTGGGCTGCTAAGGAGTCTAAATAATGCTATAAAATCAACGTGTTTGGGAGTGATTCTGAACCTCATGCAGGGTTTTAAAAAACCTCCAGTACATCTATTCAGGTAGATAATTGTCACTATCGAGGGTGAGATGTTCCCAGTAGCTTGGATGATATCCCCTCACAGCCTTCCCACCCAGCTACAGGGACACTTGGCAGCCCGGATCTTATGACAGTCCGTGGTATAATAATCACTCTGCCCATGTTTACAAGTATGAAGGGAGGCGGGTAAAGGGAGGGGGGGGACAAAATGAAAGAGCTGTCCGATCACGCTGAGTTGAGGGAATCACAGCACAGCAGTTGGTGCATCAATTAACAGGTTCAAACCAGAGCAGATCTCAGACGTCACACATGCAGCCAGTGAGAGATATTTGATCTGCAGCCATGGGAGGGTTGGGAAGGCAGCAAGCTTAACTCAGCAGCGCTCCTGTCTTTATATGTCATTCCCACATATAAAATTCAGTCATATGTGTGTGTGACATTTGAATGTCCGCCGTCTCAGTCACAGTCTTATTTGAATTCTCCATGTATGAAGACAGTTACATATCCACAGTGAAGGGGGAACAAGCCTCCTGTTAGCGCTTAATAAGGACTTAGCCGAGCTTGTCATGTCCTCACCACCTTTCCTGCTCACCTCAGCACTTCATCTGTTAAACCATGCTCAGGACTTTGCCTGGCTTGGCCCCAGTTTGCCCTTCATCCTCAGGCCCTGTCTTTTCTCCCCAATTCTCACATGACGTCACTCAAGTTTACTTCCTTCTGCAGATAAAAAAGTCAAAGTAAATAAATAACTGCAGAGGTGGTCATCACTTTCTCCCCTTACCCACAGAGTGTAACGGACAGACAGACGCCAGCAAGGGACAGGTTGTTGAAAATTAGCCACGGCTAGACACCTTTAAGCATGTCTCCTACTTTGTATTTTAAATACAGCGTTTATTGCATTTGGACTTATCCCCTTTGGACAAGAATGGGGCCTTGTATGGTGTCCCTGAAGGTCAAAACAACCCCTCAAAAAACATAGCATTAATCTACAAACAGCTTGAACATTTGACAAAACAATATTTGAGTACAGGGCGCTGGTAGCCTAGCGGTTTGTACTGAGGCTTAGACGGCCCGGGTTCAGATCTGACCTGTGGCTCCTTTGCATGTCGTTTTCACCCAGATTTCCAACTCTATCCACTCTCCTATATCTAAAAAGAAAGGCATAAAATCCCAAAATAAACCTTTAAGATTTCAGAAATCACAACATTTCAAAAGCTGCACTCTATGATGTTTTTTTTTTTTTTTTTTTACCTAAATTCAGACCGCTGTAGCCTTTAAAAACATTACAGAAAACATTAATTGTCTCCCTCTTAATAAGATGGATCCTCAATGGAAAAGGTTCACACACACAGCATCTTTAAATCTGACATTCAAGCCCACTGAAAGCTTCATTTATTTGATATTTCATTATTCAAACTGCTTGCCTCACACCAGTGAGAAAAATAATCACCCCAACAAGGTTTATCTGGTTGAATTACTTTATCTGGGTGGTACAGTAGCATTGTGTTTTTATGAAAAGATTCATAACTCATACTTGGAAGTAGATTTGATTACGTTTAGAGAAAAAAAAAAACCCGGCAAATCACATCTCACATCGTCCTCCACAGCAGGGTGCAGCAATGAATTGATGAAAGAACAACATGACACAGAAATAAACCTTCAGTGAAGATGACTCATTTTCAAATGATTCACAAATGTAACTCCTTATTGAAGTCATTATTCATCGTGAGAACATGATGTGGTGACGTTGATTTCAAACACCTCGAGACACATGAATATGAATGTTATCGGCCGACAGTCTAGGCCCGGTGTACCTCGCCTGTCGCCCAATGACAGCTGGGATCGGCTCCACCTGTGACCTGAATGGGGAAAAAGCATTATAGATAATGGATGGACGTATATAGACTGTGTGTGCGGATCTATGAAATAAAGTGTGGTTGAGAACTTTATTTTAACAGATGATGAGAAGAGGTGAGGCTGAATGCTGATGATTGTTTATCTAGAAGAATTAGAAAAATGGAAATGGGTTGTTAATGACTATTATTAATCTCACGCACATGTCAGCGATTTCAAAATGTTTTATAATGACACCGAGGAAACAGATTCGCTCTGCCTCATGCTCGGCATAAATCTCAATGCACCTGCTGTGAAAGTAGTGAAGCGCAAGTCTCGTTTTGTTCTGTTGTCGCATATGTCTGCTCATTTTCTCTCTCTGTGTGTCTCTTCTTCAGGTCTGGGCCTGGATCAGTTCGCTGTGAAGCGCTATGACGGCAAGGTAAGAAGTGGGCGGAGGGGATAGTTAGCGATCTTTAAAGGTCATCAGCAGGAAGATTAGGTCTTAAACATTTCCTCCCTGGTTCATTAATACACTTTAAACGTGGTCTCATGAATTGCTGTAAATTAATGAGTATTGTCATTGTATTGAACTTCTCCAGAAAGCAGTGTTCTCTGTTTTTTTTTAATTATTGTGGGAACAATGTGCTGCACAGAAACAAAGACAACAAAGATAACAAAGGCAACAATGACAAAGAGGAGAGAAAAAAGAGAAGGCTAAACAAACACAAACAAACACAAAATGAGAAGATAAATATAGTTTAAATATTGAGTGAGCAACAGGAGTATTCAATTGGGAAAAATAAGCAGAAAAAAGAAACTACAGGTGTATAATGAATTGGGAAAAGTACAAGACAGGAACATGAGATTGTTTGTCATTAAAAAGAGTTGACTCATGTGCATCCACTGTGAATATTTAAAAAGTGTTGTTTTTAATTGTAATCATGTTGTTTTTCTCTAACCATGCTGTGTTTTCTACGTTAATATCTGAGCTTGAACTCCTGCTTTGTCGTCTGTTTTCAATCCTCCTGCAGCTCTGATTATAATCCAATCAACAAGCCTAACACAAACCTAAAACAACTGACTTTAATATCCCGCTCATTAGATAAAGAAGAGCAGAATAAAAAGGTGTCTAAAGGGGTGATCAAAAATGATGGGTTTCAACATTCACAAGGTCTACTAACAGACGGCATCTAAAGCCGTTTTCACATTATGCACTCCTGAAAATATCTGGATAATTTCAGGAGGACTGCGCCGGATATTCTCCTGACCTGGCTGTTGACATAATGCTCCTCACAGCGGGAGACTATCGGCCCCAAAGCAGTGGCAGAAAATGTGCAAATTTAGGAAAACCTCCCTAAAGAGGTCCTATCTGACAGCACTCATTTTCGTTGCCCTGCAGAACGTTTGTTGGAGGGCCCCCCCAATTGATTTTTGCCTATGGCCCCAACAAACTCTAGAATTGCCATTGAGAATATAAACGTCACTCCCCCCCTCCCATTGGCTCGAGGTGCATTCTCCGGAGAATATCCTGCAGCATTCTCACATCAGCTCACTCAGACTCGCTGCGGGAAAAATACTAGAGGTCTGTCAGGAGAAACTCTGGGTGAAGTCTGAGCGAAAAATCTGGCTTTTTGCGTTCACACATGCAGCGCCTCCTGGAAAGCTCCTTCTGCAAGTGTGAAAGCCTTTTATCTTTAATCTGTCGTTAGTCAAGCCATTGAGTTTCACAGAGCAGCTCCACATCAACCTGCCTGCTGACTAATGACATATATAAAGACAATGTGACTACTGAGTGACTCTGAAAGGAGAAGGTCTCCGTGCTAAACCTTCCCCTCTTCCCAGTCAGGACAATAGGAGCCATCACTATAAATCACCACCATCATTATTCTCATTTACGCTTTCCTTGATATTGATTTGTAACCATTACTGCCCTAATGCTGATCCCAGGGAGCGTCCCTCACACCCAGCAGCCGACCAGCCTCGTTCATTTAGCATTAGCTAATGATCAGTTAGGTGGTGATTGTAGATTCTAACCTCATTATAAAAACCATCAGGCCCCTCGGCTCTGCACGCGTCTCAGATTGACCACCGCAAGGCTGTGAGGATACAGAGGGAGCTCTCTGTCACAACTTTTCATTTTTAGTTCCTTCTGCAACAGAATAAGAATACTTTATAAATCCCAGGGGAGGGGTTTGGTTCTTACAGGAGTTATATATGTTTGTTTATATAGCACATTTCAGCAATAAGGAAATTTCAAAGTGCTTCACAAAACACACCAAAAGCATAAAAGTAAAGAGAAGAGAAACATTAAAAGAGGATATTTTAAAATTAAAGCATTGAGATATGAGGAAGAAATATGTAAATATGTGATTATATGTGTAATAAGATATATAACAGTATGTACAATAAATGAGTTTGAATATGTGTATCCAAAATATGAATATGTGTGCAGCAAATGCTGAAAAAAACAAAAGTGGTGAAGTTTTCAATGGACCTAAAAGGCTCTCCAGCTGATTATTACCTTCGTTTTAGGGTTTACAAAGTGCTTCCACACGTGCAGAAGCAAACATACCAACAACACATAGGAACCCAAAAAACAACAAAAAACAAAGCAACCCACGGATGAGACACCCAACCAACAAACACACCCTAACACTAAAATAATCCAATCAACATCCCGACCAACATCAGATCCCCAACATCACAAGAACTCAGACAACATAATATCTCATTTTAACCCAGGCATGGGTGGGTGAAAACGTCTTTATTCCAGGAACTCTCACATGTTTAAATGCAGAAAATCCAAACATAGTAAATGTAGAACACAAAAGTGAAAGGCTCATAAACAGCAGGACTCCTACTTTCAAGGGACTGACATGGAATACGATGAAATAAGAGTCAAGAATAACAAATCTAAAACATTCAAACTTATGTTTACATTTTAAAATGTAAAGAAACTCTCCTGCTTTCAGTTCTGCACTTGAATCAGAATCAGGTTTAATGCCCAGGATTACACATAAACACACAAACATAGGAAAGGTAGAATATAAAAGTAAAAAGCTCAAAAACAGCAGGAATTAAAGAATAAATATATAAAACAGTCAAACACATAATACGAACAATAGATGAACAATGACAGAATTGACAGCCAATTCTTCCTGGAAAAATCAGAAGTCTTCAACTCTGAAGAAAATGTTCTATGGGCATGGCGGGAAGAATGGAAAAGTCGACTGTTTGCATTCACACATGCCGCTCGTCCTGTGTGTGAAGCACCCCATGATAGGGAAGTCCTACCCTTAGTTTATAAAGTCCCAGGGATTTCATTAAAGCCTCCGTCCCTGCGGTGAAAATGCTCCGAGCACCACCAAAAAATCCCAGGTCCTCTAGGGTAAAAATCAGCTTAAGCCTTTTGTTATCTGAAAGGGGTTGTCAGAAGTTTGATTCCTCCCTATTTCAAAAAAGAAACCAAAGAGCTTGGGCTATACATTTATCAACGCTAGTTGGCCTGAAATCGAAGTGAAGCACTCTTCTTTTAGAGCTCTTGTCTGCTTATGTAAATATCAGCCATATCTCCAGGCCTCGTGTTTTCTTTATTTGTTTATCAGAGTGGACATGTGGTTTCTATGATACTGCATGAGATTCTCCTGCTATGGCCCAAGCAGCCCCGAGAGTTCTCCCTCCCTCTCTGGCTCTGCAGGAAACACGTGCTTTCTCCTCATTCAGTTAATTGTCCGCCCCCCACCTCACAGCTATTTGAAAGAATAAACCATTACTGGTTCCTTCCAAGAAGCCATGAAATCGTGTTCACATGAAACTTCTGACATCGTAGATTTAGACTGAGATGAAATGGACACGGCGAGAGTAGTGGCGCTCTTACTGTAGTGTGTAAATCATGAAGTTGATGGAGGGTGTGTTGAAGTACAATGGGAGGGGTTAGAGCTGGGGGTTGGGTAGCAAACTGCCATGAAGGTCATCGGCAGAGGGGTGTACAGTATTGTGTGAGAGGAACACGAGAGCTCTTTACAAAGCGCTCTGTGTCACACTTCACCTGGTTTTATTTAGAAATAGCAAACCCCCCGCCGAGAGATTTGTCACATACATACTGTTTGGAAGTGAAGAGGCTAAAAGTGTGTACATGTTTGAAACCTCTCACTACACCCCCCTGCCCCCTGCCACCCTCCTGCTCAGATTAATTTGTTCCAGGCTCTTGTGTACAGTATGCAAACATCACATGCCCTTTATGGTTGTTAAACAACTGCTGTTCATATTGACTCACCCTGTTTGATTCATTCTTACTTTCTTGTCCAGAAAAACAACGTTATTATAATCCTATTGAACAAGAACAAAAACAAACAAGGTGAACAAACCAAGTCACTCTTTAAGATCATGAAAATGCTAAAACATACAGGTTAAGTTAAAAAAAAAAAAAAAAAAATGAATAGCAAATTGCACGCAGCGGCACAATCTGCCTTTTTCACAGGGCATATACAGGTGTGTTAAATACAAGTGGTCACATGACCAACCATCACTACATGGATTACTCCGGGTCACATTTACAAATACAGAGCATATAAATGCATATATCACTTTACACACAACAAGTAGAAGACAATGGTCCCCAAATGGCTTTGCAGCATAAATACAGACAGTAAAAAAACTTTATTTATAAAGCACTTTACACACGACAACGTCGATTCAAAGCGCTTTACAGCACAACACGAAGACAGAGGGAAAACAAATCAAATACATACAAAAAACGTTGACATTATATGTATTTTTTATGCAACAATAACAGCAGTACCAGTAACAGCAGTAACAACTTTTGTGTGCTCGATGACAGCCCAATTACAGCAATTAAAGCAACAGCATCAATCAAATGGGGGGGGGGAACGAGTTGAGAGCACGTCAAGGGAGGGCTTACAACCTCCTACAAAATGTGATAAGGACAAAAAGTAAAGGAAAAAAGAAACTGTTCATTAAAAACCACAACACCTAAAGCACCAAATGTCATACAACAGAACAACTACAGAAATGAACTGAAGTCAGTCTCATCATATAAACCTGGAAAAACCGTGGCCTTCATGGGATATATACCGTTTATTTATTTTTTTAAATAAACAACCACCTGTACATGGACGCGGTATAAATATGACATTTAAAATGAAGACACAAAACTGTACATGGTCATTATTATGTTCTGTCTCCCTGACAAAACAAAGGACACAATGAGGAGACAAGACTTACGAAAATAGGGACCCCACACAAGATTTTTAAAAAGTATCCCGTCACAAGCTTTATTTTAAACATGAATCCAAAATTTGCTAAATATGTGAAAGTCAGCTAATGAGACCAAAGGGGAGAAATGAACAAAAGACAGAAAGATGCAAAAAAGGCAGTCGCTCCCAGCACCTCCCCCTAAACGTAAGAGGAAACAAACTATCCTAAGAAAAACACAAGACCGATAACTGGACGACCGGATGTCTCTGGCCCAAACTAAAAAAAACAAAACCCAGCAATCTAAAAGATGCTTTCGGGGAGAGAGGAAAACAAAAGCACTCCTCACCATGCTGCCTAGCAGTGTGTGTGTGTGTGTGTGTGTGTGTGTGTGTGCGCGTGTGTGTGTGTGTGTGCCAAACTCTCTCTCCTCTCTCTGCTCCTCTTAATCCCCTTCCTCCTCCCTGGGAGCAAATAGCACTCAGGTGAGCAGCAGGTAGAGGAAGGAGGACGAGCAGAGACCAGAGAGAGAGAGAGAGCATGGCAACAACATGCAGTGAAGAGCAACCCGATTTCATTTAAACAAATGGTAGATAGAGTACAAGGAATTTATAACTAACCTGATACTTTGAGACCCTCCCCTACACCTTAGCCTGCACCTTTATGAATCCATATGAATGCATCATGATTACACCAAAGATTCAAAGGGTAGGAGACTTGACAGTATCAGTGTAGTTTGATCAGTTCTGCATCAGGAAATGCAGAAAGTCATCCGGGGCGGAGGGTCGCCAGAGATATACAGACTCTATGCCCTATGATTGGTGTAACATGTTGTTAGTTTCAGATCAGACGTCTTTTATTTCCAGGCAGCTGCTCACCTTCAACTGGGATTTCTTGTTTCAACGCGCCTCTCTCTCTCTCTCTCTCTGCCTTTCCTTCATCTCTGTGTTTTCTCCTGATCATGTGGGCGTGCTTTTTAAACTGTGATCTCATGTTGATGTGACCTGACGTTGTTAACTGTTGATTACTCTCCTGTGCTTTTATCAGCCGTCCTCTCTCGCCCACATAATGAGTAACCCCCTTCATTTTTTCTCTCTCCTCCCTTTCTTTGTGAATAAACCATCATCCTCAACGACCCCATCTGGGAAATAAAAAAAACATCCCTAATTTTTCTCTGTCTCCTCCCCCCAATCATCCCATCTACTGATCCCCATTCTCCACCCACACACTCCCCCGACCCCTCCTCCTCTCCTCTCCTGTCTCCCTCCCTCCTTCCTCATCTCCTTCCCATTCTGCCCCTCCCTCTCTGCAGGACTTCTGGCAGGTATGGGGTGTGTGCCGAGCAGCATGTGTGCACCTGAATGAAAAAAAAATGCACTAAGTAGTCACTACCTGCGCCTCTTCTTCCCATTTATTCTTCTTCCTTTTTCTTATTTTTTTTTCTATCTCTCTACACTCTCTCCCTCCTCTGTATTAATATGGAGGGCTAAGCTTTTATCTGCTCTTAGTACAGGGGAACAGCTTAATAAATATCTTTACCGTCTTAAAGACATCTCAGCTTCAGCAAGTGTGCAACCAGAGTCACTGCCTCAGTTTAGTTTACGACCTCTGGGCAAAGGACAACTTCCAAACTGTGCATTAAAATGTAGATTTTCTAACAGGAGACCAGTATTCTGGTGATCCAAAAGCTGATTTCACATGCATCCTGCAGAGTTCTGTAAGTGTTGTACACAACCTGAAAGGTCGATGAAGGAAGTAAAATAAGGAACCACCACTATTTCACATTATTTTCTCATACAGTAGAGCAGATTATATCATGGTCACAGAAGTTACTGGTCTCTGAAAGGCTGTTTTGACACATCACATAAGTACATTAAAGTGCAGATAACCTGAGGGCCTGTGTCCATGTAGAGTTTCCAACTATCAGAAAAGTGATGTCTGAGGTTGAGCACAAACCGGCGGTAGTCTCGTCCTATTCTTCTTATGGATGACTTTAATAAAGTCTTCACTGTCGCTGCCTGGTCAGAAAGCAATAAAAGAAGAAGCAATGTGGGTGCATGAAGAATTCTGCTGGACACAACAATCATAACATATCTCCCCACCGGTCCCAGAGCCAATCTGACCCCCTGTCTTTTTCCATTCTGATATTTTCTGTCTGACATACAGCTCGAATCCAGTGACTGTATATAAAGATGGACAACACTTCTCTACCACTCTCTTAAAAAAAAAAAAGTAAAGCCAAAACACCACCAATGTGGCGGCTGATATCTTGCACATTTTGAGCCAGAGATGGTCAGAAGGGGAGGTGCAGTAATGGCTTGCTACCCTTTCCGCTGACCAAAACACTAATTTAACCTACCGAGAAAATGGCGCCGTCTTAGGCTTAGCACAGTCAGCGACAGATTCATATATCAGTTGTAGATTTTGCTAGACCCCCTTTTTTTAATAAATCAAATTACTGATTAAACCCAAACTGTTTTAAAAAAAACTTAGACATAAATCAGCACAATGAGAAAAAACTATAATGACAGAAACATTGATTTTATAGTTTGACCCATGCCCCCCATCAGTTAACATGGAGAAGGCAGGGTCATTCAGGAGGGAACAAAACATGGCGAGCTGTCATGTCGTCCATCTTCTTAGACAGCCACAGCCAGGGAAAGCTTCCACTCCATATTCTTGGGTTCCCCCCGGGGTGACAAGTCCCCTGTCCATATGATTTGACGGCCGAAACAAGAGGCATGATGAAGACGATGCCAGAACCTTTTTAAAGAAGTCTCAACTAGAAGGGCTTGACATGGCCGCCGGAAGATGCTTAGATGTGGCCTCCAGAGGCTTCTGCACAGGCCATGAGGCAGACGAAAGACACACTGGCTATGTGGACCCAAGTCCTAAGAGTACTTTAATATACTTTTATTGCCAAACATTTTTAAATTAAGTCTAAAGCTGGAGGAATACAGTAATCGTCATTGCCTGTGCGTAGCCATGATATTTGTGATATATCATTTTAGAAATAACAAATTCGGTTGAGGAGACATCGCTGTGTTGACACTGTGGTGTTCTTTACCTCTGCCTTATCTGCTGATGTCACACAGCAGGTCATTTAATAACATTAAATCTCTTACATAAACGTTTAGCTTCATTGTAGCATGTCTTTGCTCCTAAATATTTCCCCACGGGGGGCGTTGCAGAAACTTATTTGCGATTCAAAAAGTTCTGATTGAACACATTAAGTACTCACAGTGAGTTCAGATAAATGAGCCCTGACCTCTAAGTTTTCTCTACTAAATGATTTGGCCTTTAAGCAGGTTCTGAATGTCTCTGTCTGTCAAGATGATGTGACGATAAGCCGAGCAAAGGGCAGGTTACAACCTGTACACCTGATAATGATGGGAGTGACAGAAACCCGAGTAGGCACACACACACACCCCATTGTGTGTGTGTGTGCAAGTATCAAACAGGCAAACTCACACTGTGTATTGTTATTGGATGTTGTGTTAAGAGACCTCCCAGGTGCCCTTTGTATATAGCTTTTGGAGACAGCTGTGGGCTATGCTTGCCCTGCTGAATTATTGAAGGGGAGGACTTTGCCTCTACAGGGGTTATTAAACACTGCAGCGCTACTACATAATTTACTCACCAGTCAGCGCCCCAAAGTGAAGTTCACATACATTTACAGTCACATTTTATAGGACTGGCAAATCTTGCAAAAGCTGAGATGCAAAGAGCAGCTACATTTAGGCATTTATAAGAACGCCAAATCATAGCCAGGCTGTTCCCCTGCACTCCCTCTGTTCTGCTATTTTTTTTTAAAACATCTACTCTCTTCCTCCTGTCATCTCTTCCAAGAAATGTCAGCTCTAGCTTTCCACATGCTTTGGCACTCTAGCCTATTTCTCCCAGCATGCCTTTGCTCTATTGCCTGTGTCTCAAAAGAGAAAGTAGCTGGTGGTGGCGCCCCCTCTCTGCGCATGGTGGCAACACAGGGTGGTTTTGGACCTATGGAAATGGCTCTTACTAGCTAACGTCGAGGCTGTGTTGATGTGCTTGATATTTTAACCTGCACAATTCCATCCTCTGGATTGTCTGCATGATTTCTGTACAGCATGGTTGAGAGACACTAAAGGCAGGACTTTAACATTTTTAAATGTATCCAAAACTGTTCCTACATGCTGTGGCTCACTCTGTGTGGAAAGCCACAGCGTCTGAAGCGTGACCTGCTGCGGCTGAGAGCGGACACCTGTCACTCTGAGGGAGTGCAGAGGGGGGCTGCTCCATGGAAAACAGAGCCTCTTGTCACACCAACTTGTTGTCATGTTCCCTCTTTCTGATTTACAGGAAGCTCCCAGAGGGCCGCTGTTCGGACTCTCGACTCTATCTCTTTATTTATCTCACTGTCTGCACATTTTCACATGCCTTCTTTTCTGCAACACACTCTTCATTTCGTCTCTTTCTTCAACTCTTTTTTCCCTCCTAATCTGTAGTAATCGAGGTTGGCTTGTCTGTACACCTGGTCGTCTAATTCCAGTCCCTCCCTCCTCTCGTAAGACAGCTGCTATTCCTCAGCGGCCCAAATTTGTTTATTAAGCGTTCCACATCAGGGTCCATTATTCTGATTTTGCTCCCACAATAATTATGAGTTATTAACAGTACACCTGCTCTGCTGTTACCCCTGAGAGTTGAGGTGGTGAAGCTAATACATTACTGTTCTCAGCGCCCACACACCCACCCGCCCGCCCTCAGACTGTAGCGCTTTGCCCTGGAGGTATCTATATGGGTAAGAAGAAAATGTCAGTCTTGACCACTCTGACGGTGAGTGATGGATTTTGTTCGAGCAGAGCCTTGCATAAGTATTCACCCTACATGTTGCCATGGTTATCTGCAAATTAAAAAAGATTTTATCGAGCTTGTATGTCATGGACCAACGCAAATGACATCATTATTTTAAAGTGGTAGGTGGTGTTACTCAGAAAAATGTAAAGGTTTTAAGTGGTTTTCTGTAAATCCACAGTCAAGATAAGTATCAAGCATTTGTCTTCAGGTAAATAGTAGGGATGTTCCTAGCAACTTATTTCCCTTTCAATTAAAACACAAGTTCAGACTAGTCTTGCATTTAGAAAACTCTCAACAGTCAAATTCGACCACAACGCTAAACATGAGATCACATTTTATTACGATGTTATAGACATAAAAACCGCCAGACCACACTGCTCCTATGAGAGGCCATCTATGCTGAACATAAAGGGAGTAGAGCTTAATGGCAGTTAACCAGAGTTACAGCCCCGACTAGTGGCAGCCGGCTGCATCACAGCTTAGACACAACATTTGGCCGGCATTGTGGGCCTGAATTAATAAAAACATTAATAATGAGTTAAACGCACAGTATGTAAAATCCACCACCAATTTGGCTCTCAATCAAAACAATAACAAAAGATGATGTCTAGTGGGGAATCATGGGAGTTCTCTCTTCTACTCCGTCCCTCCCCCAAAACGAACGGGCGAAACCGACCTGAGAAAGACAATAAGTTTACAGACGATGTTTCCAAGTATAAGTTACATGACGTTTTTATCACAGCAGCACATACAGCGACAGTACGGCAGCTTTCAGCAGCAGCTCCCTCTTCCTTACTTTAATGTAACATCCGGTGTTTCCATGGCAACGATAAAAATGTATATATTATAAAATTACGGATTTCTCTGACATTGATAACTGTTGGAAATATTTTAGGTAATGTAAGCACGCAACAAAAAATGATGTATAACTGAGATTTAGTCAATTTCTAATTAATTTAGATGAATTGAATGTAAACATTGTCATACAATTCACATACTATACCTTTAAGTCAACTTGTAATTGTGGTGCTGACTAGCGAGAGTTTGAGTCAGCTAATCGCACATACTGTATGCTTAGTTCTCAAACACGGTGAGTAAGGGGAAAGGTCAAAGTAGGTCGAATACTTATGCATGGCGATGTATGATTTTAAAGGTGTTGAAGTCGGTGCGTTGAGTGTAGAAAGCATTTTCTGTTCTTTGAGCTCTTTCGTTGCATCTTTGAAAGTGTCTTTGAAAGGTATTCACACCTACATTTTTTCTGAGAGCTTCCCGTCACTCCAGGCTCCGACCTGGCTTGACTTCACCCCCCAAAGCAGGTCATTATCAATTCCCATTTCCCTGAAACTTGCGTCTTCTTTGTACCTGCCGTAGTGACGGTAACCCCAGGGCTACTACATCTCACAGAGCGGCATGAAGGAACTGATCCATTTTTAATGCATATGTTTGGACCCCCCCCTCCTGCACTGTCCGTCTGTCGCACTATACAAGTCT